GGTTGATGTTGGTCACAATGAGCAAAGTTTCAGATATGCAAGATATACGAATTCTTGAGCTCTAATGTATAGCATGGTGCTTATGGCTAACAGTATTGTATTGCATATGTCAAATCTGCTAAGAGGGTTGATCTTCAAGGCTTATTACCACAAAATAAAGAAGAAAAATAAAACAAAAACTATGTGAATGTGATGGATATATTTTCTTGATTATGTGAACATTTCACAATGCACACATATCAAAATATCCACTGTACACCTTAAATATACATAATATGTATATATCAATTATACCACAATAAAGCTGTTAACAAAAGCCTACAATGTCAATAAGCTTTGTGTTTTATTTATTAGCTAGTTGACAATTTTTCCATGGGGTCACAAAGGGTCGGACACGACTGAGAGACTGAACTTAACTGACTGACAATTTTTCAGGTTATTCTCACTTTATAGAAGTCATATTCCCATATTTTAAAAGATAATGGTATTCTATTACAACTGATAGGCTCTATCTGTCATTAATAAATAAAAAAGAGATCTAATATTATTCTTATGTAATACCCAATATAATCCAAAAGACCAAAAAAGATATCTCTCTGAAATATTTGTCATTTTCTATTACTTTCTGGATGAAGTACATTTTGAATGCTTGATCACTCATAATATATGATTTTATTATGCTTCATTTATACAATAAAGAGAGAGACTACAGAGAATTAAATGTTATCTTTAGTAGAGGATTCAAAATTATTTTTAAAATTATAACACTACAAATATCTGTCTTTTTCTAATATAAAACTTAGCTGCTAACTTCTAAAGTCATAACCTGAACCTGCAGTTTTAACTGGTTTAACTTTGAGAAGTTTTAAGTGCACCATTGTCACCTAACAGATATGTAGATTCTTTGTGCTAAATAATAGTTTTATTTTAAATGAAAGAAAATAAGATTAATCTTAATTTTTAATAAAGCTTAAGTTGTAGGAGCAACAAAGTTTTTAAAAATTAACTTGCTTAAAAGAAATGAATGAAATAAACAACTGATTTTAAAGGACTTTAAGACTGTGAAAAAAGGTGAGAAAAAATAAAAACTTGCTCAGTATGTATAGAAAACATAAAATACTCCAGCACAGAGCTAAATGTTTGATGACTTGAGACAAATAATCAAATGGTAACACTTTTGTGTTTTTTTCCCCTATTACTTGATTTTTAATATAAATTAAATGCAACAGTATTTCAATGTGCACATTACTAAAACTGAAGCAAAGCTAATATGTTGATAAATATATCAGTGTTTTCCCTCTATCCCAGAAATAATTAATTTATCTATATACCTTAATAAAACCTTTGCTTATAAAAGGCTTTACTGTTAGTCAAATTGTCTTGAGGGGATAAAAAACGGATCTGTTTACTAAATATAACCAATGTACAGAACTAAAAATTCCCAATCTGAATTTCATTTTTACTGTTTAACACAAGTGAAAACATGTTGATGCACTGTAACTTACAGTGTTAGTGTACTTTATAGTGTTTCATTATGAATAGAATGTTTTCATTAAATTTTCTGAAGAATTTTTTGTTTAAATTATTAATCAGAACAAAGCCCTAAATTTGCTTTTTATTCTTAGTATATTACCAGACATTCTATACAATTCCTTTTATGCATATTGCATTTGTAAAACCATTTTATGAAATCTGAATATTTCATAGTAGTAGTTTCATATCATTTATAAAAGCAATGAAGCTGAACAGGCATCTCAGGGACTCAATTTCATGTCTTCTTTTTAAAACTCTATCAATATATACATTAATAAAAATCCATTAAATGATAAAAGAAAAGACAATCATATTTAATATCCTAGATGGTAAAGAATCTGCATGCAATGTGGGAGATGTGGGTTCTATCCCTAGGTTGGAAAGATTCCCTAGAGAAGTAATGGCAACCCGCTCTAGTATTCTTACCAGGAGAATCCCACGGACAAAGGAGGCTTGCAGACTATACAGTCCATGGGATCGCAAAGAGTTGGAGATGACTGAGCAACTAACACTTTCACTCTTCACTTAGAATGAGAAAGGGTATCTATATAATCATATTAATTTCATACATTTTTATATTTTTTCCAATGTAATAAAGTATTAAGCAGCTACTTAGACAATATTGCTTTATGTATACAAAAATAACTGACAAAATATTTGTGTAAAAGTAGTAGAAAAAAGCAACTGCTTTACTTTGAGGATTGTGACGTCATTAAATGTATATTGAAAAAATGTTTAAAAATGAAAAGCAAATTTAGTTTAAATAAATTTAAATTACTGAAGAATAATGACAATGCTAATAAACAGAGAAACACTGATTACAGTGGTACTAGTTCCTTTAAATATATATATATATGTATATGCACATACATATGTCTATTTCAGTATATACACACATAGTGATAATATATGATATTATTAAATTATTAATGAGTATGAACATCTATGTAAGCTGTTTTTACTCTACAGGCCAAAAGTAAAGATATCACATTTATATGTATCATTATCGCTGTGATAAGTTAGAGCTGAAATTAAAATCAATTCACACTGCAAGTTCAATCACTGTCAAACTTTTAATAAGACATCATTAATTTATCACTAGATTAGTAATTTGACATCAGAATAGCAAAAATGCTAAATGTATTAATATGTCCTTTAGACTGCCTTATTGTTGATACAATAAAGAAAAGTTATCCTTGTCTTAGTTTATTTAATATTCTAGAAGTACACTGTCACCTGGTTTTTCTTTTCTTTATTTTTTAATTGAAGTATAATTGCTTTCCAGAATTTTGTTGTTTTCTGTCAAACCTCAACATGAATCAGCTATAGATAAGGGTATTCACCTGGTTTTGAGCGAGTAGCTTATCACTTACATAAAGGAAAGGTGAATACTGAGAGAAGTCAGGAGACACAGCCAACAAAGGGTACAGAATCAAGTCAGGAACCACACTGAGTGACTTGACTTAAAACTATAGGAGGAACTCCAGGAGTCACTATAATAGACCATTCACATTTATCAACACAAGGGGCAAAGAAGGCAGTGTTTTGGGTCAGCCCTCAGCTGTTAACAGTTCTTAAAACAAGTTAAATCACTGGTACATACGATCTGAATGTCTCAGTAAAGAACAGGTGCATGTCAATGTATGGCAAAAACCACTACAATATAAAAAAAAAAAAGAAAGAAAATCCAAGTTCATCTCAAAAAAAAAAAGAACAGGTGCTTAGCTGTCAGGTTGGTGGGAATAGAGGTAGGGCATAACCAATTTCTTTGACAATACTCTCATAGCAAACAGTATGACACACAGAAGCACAGTATTACACTCACATTTTGTCATAATGTGAGTACTAAAATGTTAATACAAATAATACAAATATTCAATATTTATTTTACAAATACATAAAAGGTTTTCTTTTAGCCCTAATTGCTTTAAACCTTTTAAAATGTAAATATTAGCTATTTTACTATTATGTGTCTACATGTGGTATCTCTGTATATATTCAGCTTTGAGTCTGCAATATTTTTGAATAAGTGGCTAAGGATCCTATTGTTCTAAAAACTTTCTCCAGCCATATTCACTTAAAACCATGCTTCTTCCTATTTACTTTCCCCCATTCTTCTGGGGTGTCACTACTACATCTTTCCTCCAAGTCCCTTTTTACCACTTTCTATAAGTTTTCTGTATTTGTTTCTCACTGTTCTAGTTTGGATATTTTCATAATCTTTCAACTCATTCAGGCTTTTTTCACCTTTGTCTAACATATTGTTAAATCCCTCTACTGAGTTCTTCTTTCTATTATCATATATTTTCTTTTTTTATAAGTCAATTTATTTCTATAGTTTCCAGTTCTCAGCTGAAATTCTCTAACCGCTCATTTTTTCCAACAAATAAAACACATATTTTAAAGTCTACCTAAATAAACTCATACCTGGTCTTAAAAGGATCTGCTTCTCTTGCATCATTTTATACTTAAGTCTTTAGTGTACCTAGCTATTTTTATCAGCTGCTGAACATTTTGTTTAAACATATGTGGTGTCAGTTTAAGACTGAATGATGCTATATGCTTTCCAATAGGAGGGACAGTTTCTTTTTACCAGCAAGTTGTAGGGTTAGATACACTTATTAAGTGACTGAATTGATTCAAAACTGAAGTTCAATAATGTGAATTAGGTTACTGAATGGTTTACTATTAATTCTATGTTGTGTCCTTTTTCAACAGATCCTTAATTCTAATTTATATTCCCCAAGCCCACAGGTGATGACTGAAAAAAATCTATTCAGACTTATAAAGGCCCTGTTTTCAAGGGCCTTTGACAAATGACACAAGAAAAAAAGTCACATCATAAGTTGTGCTTAGCTCAGAGAACTCTGTACCACTGGATCTCGACCCATCATATCCTCTCCATTTGCTGGTCTTCTGATAGCTTCCTGCAGATCTTATTTTTAAATATTCTCCATTTTTCTTAGTTAACCCTTAGGAATTACATCCTGGTGGCTCAGACTGTAAATAATCTGCCTGCAATGAGAGACCTGGGTTCGATCCCTGCATCGGGAAGATCCCCTGGAGGACGGCAGGGCAATCCATTCCAGTATTCTTGCCTGGAGAATCTCATGGACAGAGGAGCCTGGACGGTTACAGTCCATGGAGTCATGACTGAGTGACTAACAGGAATTAAACAACAAAAACAAGCCCCAAACTGCTAGGAGTTAAACAGTTCTACCATTGACATAATGAACAGACTAATTAGAATAACACTTCAGACCTCACATTTATATTCAAATATCTGACTTAAAATAAGTCATTTGTAAAAGTAAATATTTAAAAATCTACAGAACTAGTGAGTGAGCTAAGAAAAGTACAGTCCTACCTGGTTTTGAGAGAGTAGCTCATTCCCTAGGTTGAAGGAAGCACTGGTATGGAAGGACAGCACTAGGGAAGGCAGGAGACAGTCCATGAAGACTGTGAACTCAAGGTACCATGCTGGGTGATTGGACTTCAAACTGCACAAGTTTCAACCGGCCCGCCGGGCCAGGGGCTGTTCCTGGACCTCCACTCGCCACAGGGCTCTCGGAGGAACCGCGGCCTGCTTGGCCTTCTGCGGCGCCGTCTGGTGACAGGGCGTCTTTACAGGTCACGTTCTGCCGGCGGGTTGAGGGCACCAGAGCCTTGCTCACGTGCGTGCACTGACAGAAACACACGTTTCTACTAAAAACTGAAAAACCCGTTTCTACTAAATGCTGCAGGCCCAAGCACAACCGCTCCGCCATCCACACGGGCTACCCGGAGCCGCGACGTACGCTCGCGAGATCCGCGAACTGGACTCTCAGTCCCCTAATGAGAAGTGGGTGAGAGTCGGGGTCTGCGAGGCGCCCAACAGAGAAAAGGTGAAAGGGCCGAAGGTGCGCTTGTATGCTTCTTTAGGTACTTTTTTTAGGTAACTTATACACGTCCATGAATGAGGGGTTTTATATTACCCGAGATTTACGCGCAGCAACTCAATTTCAGAAAACCATTTTAAAGAGGTAATTTTTTAAAGCACAAATATGTATGTAAGAAGGTGTTAACAGCGTGCTTACATTGGAATGCCCCATGAATATTGCATACTTAAATAGTGTGTCATTGTCTTCACACCTGTGTACTGTAGTTTTTACAATGGAATAATATGCAATAAAAATGATATTTACATGGACCTTTTAATGCCACTAGAACATTCTAAATATTTAATGGTCATTGAGAAATTTAAAGGGCCTTTCCCAGTGACTCAGTGGCAAAGAAACTGCCTGCAGCGCAGTAGAAGCAGCAGATTAAGGTTCCATCGCTGGGTGGGGAAGATCCCTTGGAGATCATGACAGCCCACTCTAGTATTCTTGCTGGAAAAATTTCCATGGACAGAGAAGCCTGGTGGCCTATGGTCCATGAGGTCGCAGAGTCCATCAGTATTGAAGCGACTGAACACCGAACACACAGGTGAAAATTAGAATTTGTTAGTGCAGTGAGGTATTAAAGATGTGTATATTTATAGACACACATATGTATAGATACAAATATATGTTCAGATAATTACATATTTCCATTTAATATTAATTTATCAAATACTTTAATAATTTCTTATTAATTTAAGACATTAAGAGAACATGTTATTTCTCAAATGACTCCAAAATATGCGGTGGGACTTGCATTGGAAATGTAAATGTCTAAATTGTTTTCTATACAAATAATAATTTAACAACAATAAATGAGGTAAACTACATTTAAATAATAGGAAGGTGACAAATATTGTTTCAGTACTTTATTCCAATTTTATTTTCAGTGGTTTTATTTTAGAAATCCATTTTTAATGTTAAACATCATCAAAACTGCAAAATTTATAGTCTTACATTCATGTTGCTACTTCAGCTCTTTAGTGATGAGTTGTTACTCAAAGATACATAGACACACACATATATAATTTTTGAGATGATCACTAAACTATTTCTTCAATTGTTACATGACAGTTGCTTCTTAAAAACAAATAAAGAACCATTTCCATTTCTTTCTGTTCTGAACAGGTGAAGATGACAGTAAAATCAATAAAGAGAATTGTAAGGTCAGGATGAAGAACATTCCCAGTTCAGATCTTAATTTCAGGAACAATTTGCCATGACATCTGTGTAGTCTCTTCATGGAACTTTAGCAAATCTGACAGCTAATTAATTATAAAGCAAGATTAGAGACTGGACAGAAGTGCTGGCAGAGGAGAATTCATCTTTTGTGTCAACATGTTTCAGTATATTCATTTTCTTAGGCCTGAAACACATTCACCTAGTAAATCATTGTTTATCTTTAAGCTCAAAAAGGAAATCAAACATGACATGAACAATTATCAAGATATTCTCAGAGAAATGCATTCCCAAAAAAGAAACATGAGAGTAAATTAGAACTATGGTAACATCTGAGATTTTCCTGTTTTTTGTCTAAATTGTATGTGATGTCTAAAATCACTTTATTTTAAAATCTCAGACAGAAATAGAAAGCTATCACCAGAAACAAAGTGTATATAAAATGATCATGAATTTAATATAGCTATTATATATATACAAAATTGTAGATTATGAATTAAGAATGCAGAGTTCAAGGTAACATTATTATAAGTTAAATAGGAAAACTCGGCTGTTTAAAAAATTAATATTCTCCATTCTTAGTAATTCAAAAATGTTATTTGACTTAGTTAAAACTCCTATTTTATATAACCCTGGATAAAGTAAAACCAAACAGAAGCTCATTACTCTCAATCAAGTATTTCCAGCGTTATAGTCTGTAAAAATAAATGCACATATTATAACTTATTGCGTTGAACATTTTAAGTGTTTAGAAATAGTGAATCAGTATGTTGTATAGCAGGAATTAACATACTGTGTAGGCCAGTAATACTTTACAAACAAACTCATAGAAAAGGAGATCAGATTTTTGACTACTAGAGGAGGGAGCAGGGGAATTAGATGAAGGTGGTCAAAAGGTCCCAAATTCCACTTATAAGTACTGGGGATGCAATGTGCAGCATTATTAATATTATTAATACTGCTGTATGTTATGAGAGTACTTGTTAAGAGAGTAAGTTCTAAGAGTCTCATCACAGGGAAAAATTTTTACTTCTTTAATTGTGTGTCTTCTGAAATGATGGGTATTCACTAAACTTACTGTAATAATTTCATAATAAATGTAAGTCAAATCATTATATCATACACTTTAAACTTAAACAGCACTATATGTCAATTATATCTCCATAAAACTAGAAAGAAAAGAAAATTGAAATAAATGAAGAAACTTTTGGTTTCTAGTCTGATATGTCATGAACTTGGAAGTTGCCACTGTATCTTAACAAGTAAAAACCTATACAAACTAAAAAATAAACTCTTCTTAGATCTGGAAATAAAGCTATATCATAATACAAATAGCTGCCTCCAAATTTGGAGAGGCAAACAGAATCCGACTTACTGAAGCAGAAGCTTACTAGAAGAAACCGCAGCAGGAACAACTGCTGGGTAGGAAAAAATCTAATCTTTAATTAATGAATTGCCAGAAGTTCAGTTGCAAAAGCCGAAAAATCAAAAATGCCTAGAGAGCCCAGTCATAGGAGGACCCCACACTTTTTTGAGTTTAAGCAGCAGGGATTTGGCCAATGATGGCCAAATTTCACTAAGTTGTGTCCAACTCTTTGCAACTCCATGAACTGCAGCACACCAGGCCTCCCTGTCCATCACCAACTCCCGGAGTTTACTGAAACTCATGTCCATTGAGTCGGTGATGCCATCTAACCATCTCATCCTCTGTCATCCCCTTCTCCTCCTGCCTTCAATCTTTGCCAACATCAGGGTCTTTTCAAATGAGTCAGCTCTTTGCATCAGGTGGCCAAAATACTGCAGTTTCAGCTTCAATATCAGTCCTTCCAATAAACACCTGGTATGTGTCGTTAGCGTAATGTAAATTAAAACAATGAGCTACCACTGTGATTCTATTAAAATAGCCAAAATCTGATACAAATACAATACCCAATACTTGTGAGGATGGGGAGCAACAGAAACTCTAGTTCAACACTAAAGTTATGTAAAATGGTACAGCTACTTTAGAAGACAGTTTGGCAGCTTCTTACAAAACTAAATATACTCTTATCATATGATCCAGCTATGCATTCCTTGGTGTTTTCCAAAGGAGTTGAAGGCTTAGGTCTAAACAATAACCTGTTCATGGATATTAATAGCAACTTTATTCATAATTACATAAGCTTAGACACAACTAAAATGCCTTTCAGTAGGAAAATAGAGAAGTAAACTGTGGTGCATCCTTGCAATAGAATATTATTCAGGGCTAAAAAATGCTATCATTTTAGAAAGTCATAACTATGGAAAAAACAGAGAGAAAACTAAAATGCATATTTCTAAGAAGAAAAAAAGTCAACCTGAAAATTCTACATAATGTATTATTCCAGTTATATGACATTCTAGAAAGGGTAAAACTATGGAGACAATAAATAAGATTAGTGATTTCCAGGAATTAGGGAGAGTGAGGGATGAGTAATTATAGTGAGAAAAGTTTTAGGGCAGTGAAACTGTTCTGTATGTTACGTCATTCTAAAGTTCTTTTCAAATCCGTAGAATATACAATAAAAAAAAGGGAAGCATAATGTTTTCTGTGGACTTTGGGCGATAATGAGGTGTCAGTGTAGGTTCATCAATAATAACAAAACTACCACTCTGGTGGGGGCCACTGATAGCGGGAAATTCTATACATGTTTGGGTCATGAGGTTTATGGGAAATCCCTGTCTGTACCTTCTATTCAATTTTGTTGTGAATCTAAAAACACTCTTAAAAAATAAAGTATGTTGTTTGGTAAATAAATATCTTGATTCATATCCAGTATAACTTATTATAAAGCAAACAGTTAAAATAGCACTAGCCCAAACCCAATCAGTTCTACATCATAATGACTATTTTCTGTGAGACAGCAGTTTCATGTTTAAAATAACATGTTCCCTAGAATCATAAAGACTTGGAATATAAATTTTTACCTTGTGACCAATGGCCTGTCTCCTTCCATAGCATCTGCTTCCTCATATGTAAGGAATATATCTGTCCTAGAGATTATAAGAATATAAATGTACAGTGTCTGCCATTTAGCAAACTCTGAAAAGCATTACTTTGCACTTACTTTGAATCAGCAGATAATTTGTCTTCTCTACTGGAAATATTAGCCAACAAATTGCAAATATATAAGTCTCTTCTTACTTACTCTAGTTAATATAATTAGGAATGTTATATATCTACAGCTATTAATTCCATAGCATTTAGAAAAGAAAGTATTTTTTGTGGTTTCCAAATCTAAAAATTTTAACATGAATTTTAAAATTTTATGAAGTATGGGATTTTGTGGCCCAGGGGTTATTATTCTTTCAGAGTTTAAAAAAAAAAACCAGTTAGCCATGATAACATATCAAGTCTAGTCCTCTTTATGGAATTATGTCTGAGTGTTTGTTGTTTTGAATTAATGTCTATAGATCCTCCCCTCTCTTCGTTTTACTGAAGTTCACTGTCAGTTTAGGTTGCTATTTGTAATGAAACACACCCTTTAGAGCTGAACTAAATATATAATTTAGGCTAGTCACATGGTCTCTCTGGGACTCATCAATATTAAATATTAAATAAAGTGTAACTAGAATCTGAGTTACATCATGTACTTGGAATTAGTTTTTCCATGTGTATTTACTGTTGCTTTGTTTTTCAATTTTTTTCC